CATATCATCTACCGATAGATATGACTCGGCTCTTTATACCTGTATCGTAACTAACGAATATGGATCAGGTGAAACAAACATTCAACTCATAGTGCAAGGTACGACAGTCTTAAATGTCATTTATTCTGTAATGTTCTATATCATATTAACTCTCATTTGTGCAGTTAATGGACTGACGTTCTCCATCTCTCACTCATCAAAGCGATTTCTCTTAGAGAAATAATGGACTTTGTGGAACCATGTAATTAAACTGGTTCAACTTTTCGATAGCTTAATAGCGTTCATCACATTTCCAATTAATGAACGGCTCAGTGTTAGGTAATCAAGTAAGGTATATATATATATATATGAGTGTATGTATTCCTATAAGCATCCTCCTGTACATGTATTTTGCGAATTTGTGTGTATTTTTCGTTTTTGCTAATTTACATCGACAGTGTCAATCTTAGGCCAAGGTTAAGCTAGTCTAAAGGATTAGAAAATGTGTTTAGTTGTTTTGTTTTAGAGCAAAGCCATATTAGACTATCTGGTGTGTTCACTGTGTGAAATCGAACCCCGGGTTTTAGCGTTGTAAGTCCTTGGACTTACCGCTGTCCAACCGAGGGACAGGAGTAGCAAAACGTAATACTATAATATTAACGATCATCCAGTTACTGAAGACAATAAAAATATCTGAAGAGTCATATCCTCATCAATGTTTGTTTGTTTGACGACACAAAAAAGAAAGATAGATATTATCAAAGTAACAACACACGAATTTCAGTCTCATCTCTATAAACGTACCAATGATATCTTTACTGTATTTACAAATTTCCATTTAACATCATGTCTCTTCCTTTAGAACCACCTAGTCCTCCTACAGATGTTTCTATAGTTACAAAAAGCAGTCGGACAGTAGAGTTGTCATGGAAACCATCCTACAGTGGAAACAGTGCTATCATCAAGTGTACCATACAGTACAAAAATGTCACAAGTAAGCAAAAAAAAAAAAAAGGGACAAAAATGTATTTCTAAGTCTGTAAGACAAATATATATTTCACTCTCTTATTACAATACCTAGAAACGAGCATACGATCAAATAACCATAATCGCTTTGTAATGAAAGTTAGGTGTACAATTAATTATCTTACTCCATACCAAACTGAGCCAACACAGTAACAGGGAATTGCAGTGTTTACCTGGGAATAATGGCACGTTGTTTGTGGGTTAACAGTAGGTGGGAATAATGGCACGTTGTTTGTGGGTTAACAGTAGGTGGGAATAATGACACGTTGTTTGTGGGTTAATTTGTTTGTTTGTAATTAAGCACAAAGCTACACAATGGGCTATCTGTGCTCTACTCACCACGGGTATCGAAACCCGGTTTCTAGCGGTTTGAGTCCGCAGACATACCGCTGTGCCACTGGGGGGCTTTACAAAAATAACTTCACAATAAAACCAAATAATTCATGGAGCTCCTGACTTTAGGAAATACCTAGGGAGTATGTAACTGTTAAGGCAATTTCTGTGTTATTCCATAGTAAGTACTTTCCATGATTGGCTCGGCATGGCGAGGTGGTTAGAGCGCTCGACTCGCAATCTGAGGGTCGCGGGTTCGAATCCCCGTCCCACCAAACATGCACGCCCTTTCAGCCGTGGGGGCGTTATAACGTGACGGTCAATCCCACTATTCGTTGGTAAAAGAGTAGTCCAAATGTTGGCGGTGGGTGGTGATGACTAGCTACCTTCCCTCTAGTCTCACACTGCTAAATTAGGGACGGCTAGCGCAGATAGCCTTCGTGTAGCTTTGCGAAAACAAACTTTTCATGATTTAAATAGTTTTCGCGTATTCTTAAAACAAAGCTTTTTAAAATTTTATACAAGACACATAGATTATTAAAAAATGATCCGAATATAAGATTATAATTTTATTTCATCGATTAAGTAAAGTAGTACTTAATTTTGGTTGGGTGGGTGTATATGTTCCAAACTCTATTTATTTGGCAGTAAAACGGTGTAAATATGGTTACAATGATCCCAAAATTCACGGATGCGCCTTTTTTGTAATGATCTCATCCGATTAATTTAAGCATACGACCCGAAGTATCTGTCATTAAAATTATAAATTATAAATATACCTTATATAATCAAATGCATACTTTAACATTCTACATTGTGCTATTTTACCAAACTAACAGCGTTCCCATCTACTGTTAACCCACAAACAACGTGCCATTATTCCCATCTACTGCAAACTTTTTGTAAATCTTTAATGATTAATATTTTAATATTTTTTTCCAAAACGAAAACCATGCATCACGAAAATTTTTTTTATAAGATAAGATACCATTGTATGTGTGTGTGTGTGTGTTTTAGAGCAAAGACATTGCGGACTATTTGCTATGTCCACCACAGGAATCAATTCCCGAAATTTAGCGTTATAAGTCCGTAAACCAGGAGACGATATCATTGATATTCTTCCTATAACGTTTCGGCTGAATTATATAAAACGAAAAAAAAAGAAAAACTGCGTAGAGCCAAACTAATTGTATATATCTTATTTACATATCTATTTGGACTTACAACGCTAAAATCTGGGGTTCGATTCCTAGCGGTGAACACAACAAATAGTTTTGCTCTAAAACAAACAAATATCTATTTGTCTCACTGCTATAACAAGAAATAAAGTATTTAACAGAAATGCTAATAATTGCATAAGTGTGTGAGCGCAGGGCTTTCGGGGATATTTATTGATATCTTCAATTGACTGGGCTTATGAAGTAAGCCCGCTTGCGAAGGCTCACGATATGATCCTCATCTGTCAGTTAAAGAGTCAACTTATGCTGGCTGCGAATTTTCATTTCACAAAATATATATTCAAATAAGGTTCGGTCGTATCTCCTCCATGACCGAAAGTAAATGATTGTGTAGGTATACGTATATATATATATATATATTGAACGCTACTTGGATCGAGAGTTTTTCTTGGAAATCCAGTCAATAAATCGTTGAAGTACCACATTAATTTACCACTTCTGTGAGTGAATATCTGTTATTAAAAGTTAAGCTCCGATGATGAGCTGTAGTTTTAAAATCGTTGCAAAGTGTTTTATTTAAAGAGGTATGGTATTAATAATGATTTATTTCTTAATTTCTGGAAGATGGAAGGAAATAATCGAACTCGGTTAGTCTTAAGAATCGATATTTTTTTTTTAAGGTGGTTGTTTAGAGTCTCGATTTTTCCATTAAGATTAAATGTTATACGTGATAGTATGTCATATTTCCTAACATAATGTTTCATATCTTGTGCAGGTAATTGGGAACACTGCTCGCAGTTGGTACTCTCTAGCTTCGAGACTTCCGCTACTGTAAGAGGTTTACTTCCGGTTACTTCGTACGATTTTCGAATCATAGTCGAGAATGAGTTGGGAAGAAGTAAACCCAGTGATGTCATTACCGCAACCACATCGGAAGAAAGTAATAAAGCTCCTATTGTAATTAATATTTAGAATAAAAGTCCGAAACATTATTTATAAAGAATAATTTCCTCAAACAACGGTAAATAGTTGCAAGGTTGTAGGAACCACAGAAAGATCCTCTTTCTTCTCAATATTTGAATAACTGACTCAATTAAAAAAAATATGATTTTTTTTTTAACTATTTTGTAGGATTTTAGTCAAATAAATAGTAAAAATATAATCGTTTTTAAAATAGTAATTTAGTAGTTTTGCAGCAAATAAAAGTGAAATTATTATATGTTTCATTAGATTTTTTATAGACATTCTACGCACTTCCGATCGGAAAACCATTAAACTGCTTTAGAGGACGGCCTGGCGTGGCCAAGTAACAAGCATACTTGGACTTGAATCCGAAGATTCATAGTTAATTGCCAGTTCCAAAAAAAAAAAACGCCGAATTAATGACAGTCAAATTCTACTATTCATCAGACAAAAGAACTCCCAAGAAATGGC